CTTTACCTTGTGTTTTTGGCGCGACCTATAACCTCCTATCTTCCAGAGTATATAGTGGTGTTTAGTTTTAATAATGAGTCAAAGGGACACTATAGGCAGGGCCGGTGCAAGGATTTCTGCCGCCCTAGGCAAAGATCCATTTTGCCTCCCCATCAAGTCACTCACTCACTGACAGAGACAAACTGGCAGACACACACACTCACTGACAGACGCACACTCTATGACAGACATACACTCACTCACTGACAGACATACAGTCACTAACACACACACACACATGCACAGAAACACAATGACAAACATACACTCACTCACTGACAGATACAGAAACACACACATTCACTGACAGATATACACTCACTCACTCAATGACAGAAAGACACACACACACACACACACACACACACACAGACACTCACTGACAGACATACACTCCCTCACTGACACACAGACACTCACTGACAGACATACACTCACACACACACACAGGGCCGGACTGGGGATACGAAGCAGCTCTGGAAAGAAATCTATGCCAACCCCATAAGTCATTGTGCTATGTAGGGTGTTATATATATATATATATATATATATATATATATAGGCAATTGAAATAGTTGGCTGCACTTTCAGATTTCCTTAAAACATAACTTTTATTTAAATATTTAAGAGAAGATCAACGTTTTAGTCACTCTTGTGGACTTGCATCAGGATCATGATGAAAGTCCACAAGAGGGACTGAAACATTGATCTTCTCTGAAATAGTTGGCTGCACTCTCAGATTTCCTTAAAACGTAGCTTTTATTGAAATATTTAAATTGCCTGGATACTGAAGCCCTGGTCACACAACTTTGAAGCCTGAGTGCAAGGTACAACAGCTTATATATATATATATATATATATATATATATATATATATATATATATATATATTTTATTGATACATTTCTTCTTCTAATTCAAAATATTAGTTCTTTCAGGGTAATTAAATTATACAGTAAAGCATAATCACACAAAGACACAGACAATCTTACTGACGCACACAAATAGGCTCATTGACAGACAATCTCAATGACACACACAGACAAGATTACTGGCACACACACAAATTTAGTACAGACAAACTCTGATACACACACAAGCTTACTACAGACAAGCTCACTGTCACACACACACGCTCACTACAAACAAGCTCACTGATGCGCACACACTCTCCCTACCGACAAGCCCATTGACACACACATGCTCCCTACAGAAGAGCTCACTAACACACAGATTCACTACAGACAAGCTCACTGACAAACACATGCTCACTACAGACAAGCTCACTGACACACATATGGTCACTACAGACAAGCTCACGATCACACTCATGCTTACGACAGACAAGCTTACTGTACACACATGCTCACCACATACAGGCTCCGACACACCCATGCTCCTTACAGACAAGCTCACTAACACGCACACATATATGATCCCTACAGACAAGCTCACTGACACACATACAAGCTCACTCACTAGCAGGCACACACACACAAACTCACTAGCAGGCGCACACACACTGAGGCTCTCTCACTAGCGGATGCGCGCACACACACACACACTCACAGAAGCCCGATCGCTCACTCACTAGCAGATGCACACACACAAAGACATCCACACACACAGAGGCAGACAGTCACTGACACCGAGGCAAACATCCACACATACAGAGACAGGCAGACAGCCACACACACACAGGCAGACAGTCACACACACACACACACAGGCAGACAGTCAAACACACAGGCAGACAGTCACACACGCAGGCAGACAGTCAAACACGCAGGCAGTCACACACACAGGCAGTCACACACACACACACACAGACAGTCACACACACAGGCAGACAGTCACACACTCACAGAAAGACAGTCACACACAGACACACTGACCTGCCTCTTACCTCCACATCCCTTGGAGCTCCTGGAGGCTGGTTGTTGGGGAAGCAGGGACTCCTTCCTGCTTCCCATGCTGCAGTTAGCCAGGCCCCTGCCGCACAGTAAGCTCCGCCCCTGCCGCACACTAGGCTCCGGCCCTGCCGCACACATTGGCTCCGTTCCCGCTGCAATTTTTTTTTTTAATGATCCCGGCCATGTGTGAGCTGGTCACAGCTCACACATGGCCGGCCGGGATTACAGGAGTCTGATCACTGATAAGGGCTGTCAGCCCAGCCCCAGGTGCCGCGGTCCACTGGGAAATTTCCCGGTATCCCGGTGGGCCAGTCCGGCCTTGCACACACACACACACGCTGACAGTCAAACACTCACTGACACACAGGAAGACCCTCACTGAAATACATACACTCACTCACTGGCAAACACACACACAGGCAGACACTAACAGACAGACACACAAACACACGTCATATTCCGGCTCCCGGCATCACAGAGGGCTCGCAAGGGAGGAGTAAGAGGCTGCAAGAACAGCTTTCCTCGCTGCCTGGCTTCTCCTTCTCCCTCTCCTCCGGACGGTCACTGGCATTTGTTGGCAGAGCAGGCACCTGCCATTAAGGTAAGCAGGTGCCTGCTCTGCCTTACCTAGCAAAGCTTTGGGGGCGCCCTGAGGTGGCCCAATGGTCACCTCCTGGCCCCCCTGTAACAGGGCTCATGTCTGCTCCCCCACCTTCGGGCACCTTGAGGATCGGCCCGGCACTGGGGGTGGCTCAAGAGCCGCTCGCCCAGCGCTGCGACCCCAGACAGGAGCAGACAGCCCGGTGGGCACCCCCAGCAGGCCGGCGTCCTAGGCAAATGCCTAGTTCATGTAACGGTTGCACCGGCCCTGACTATAGGCATCCAGATCACGTCAGCTCATTGAAGAAGCCTAGGTGCAGTATCCCAGGTCCGTTAACCCTGCAGTGGTAATTATTGCAGTTTTTAACAAACTGCAATAATTACATTTGAGGGTTAACTCTACTTCTGCAGGGGTAATTATTGCAGTTTTTAATAAACTGCAATAATTACCTTTAAGGGTTAACTCCACCTCTTGTGGCTGTCTACCACTAGACTTCAGAGTGGGGTAGATGACTAATGGTCAACAAACCGACGCTGGACGTTTTTTTTAACCCCTTCTGCACCAAGGTGGGGGAGAGGGGCGGGGGCAAAAGGGAGGGGGCACTATAGTTTCCCTTTAAACACAGATGTAGGCTTAGACTATGAGTGCTTATATATGGGATTCATGGAATGATTTGTTTAGATTTTGGAAGGGGTTATATTTAGGGTTATGGTATAGACATGAGGAATTTAAAGGGATATTTGGTAAGTACTCACCGTCCTATAATTTATATGAGATCTGCAATAGCTGTGTGCCTTACTCAGTGCTGTCCAATGATAACAGTCTGTTCCTTCTGCAAGGCATTTTATATGTGAGAAGCTGGTAGTGGGCAGATGGGAAGTGATCCCTTCCACTTCCTGTCCAGCCTTATACACAGACAATGGAGGAGTTGGGACATCACTGAGTTTTACACCCACTTATACACCCTGTCTCTCTGAGCTCTGCTGTCAAACATGGAAGGCAGACTGGACTACAGAGGTTACTGACCTATGCTCCTGGTACTTATGTCTTCCCACCAGACCACTTAAGCTTTATTAATGTACATAAGTGCTGTAAATAGGCACCCTCTACAGGACATGCACCTGCAGGCACATACCTACTCTGTCTAATGGGAAATCCGTCTGTGGATTTACACAAATACACACACTGCTAGATCAAACATAAACTGATACACACACCCACAGATACATACACAAGCATGTACATACACACACTGCCAGACAAATAGCAAACACACAGATACATTGGATAGAGATTGGATGTTCAGTCTTATACCTGGCAAATCACAACATGCCACTTTCCTCTGCCACAGCCCCTTTTGGCCAAACTAAAATATGGGTAGGTGTGCGGTTAAGAGACACAAAGGATAATGTACTGGCAAATCATATGAAAGAAGACAGCATCCCTCACTGTCTGTGTGACTCAAGTGTACAAAATGCTATTTTGGTGGTATCTCACACCGATGCAACGCCTGACCCCTATGCATCGTTCGCCCTCTAAATTGTGCTGGAAATTATGTGGGGAGATTGGTACCTTGTATCCTTGTTGGTGGACATGCCCCAAGTTGCAACCAATATGGCTCAGCATAATATCTGTATTGACCAGAGAGTTGGGCGGACAATGCCCAAGGGACCCTTGGGCTTTTCTTCTATCCAAACCCATAGATCCCTTTACAAGAGCCGAAAATAAACGTATTGTTTGTATAGCATTGGCAACTCACAGAGCAATAGCTGAAGTATGGTCCTCTCCTCTCATTCCCACTGAGTCCAAAATTGCAAAGAAAATACAGGATAATGTATAATGGATAGCTTAACATCACAAGTTCATTATACATCTAAAACATTCCATAAAATATGAGGCCCATGGCTGGAAGGCGATACGTCCCTGCCGTGGTAGAGGAAACATTTACACCAGATTAACTTGTATACAGGACTCCCATATCAACAATAGGTTGATTAAGCTACATTGCATCTCACACATGGGTCTATCACTAATGCCGCAGCCCAAACCACCCTTTTTTGTTCTCTCCTCTTACCCCACATTTTTTACATCTTTTTGTTTTACTTTTGCTCTTCTTGCTGTACTTATTCCTCTCTCCACATACATCTACTAGCTTTCTCCATTCCTCCTCACTGGAGTGAAAATTCTCCTATGGACTCCAGGGTTTGGCACATGGCCCAGGGTGGCTTCTAGGATTACTGAATTGACTATGACCAACTACCACAGACTGCAAACCTCTGCCTCTGATATGGCCTGATATCGGTAAAACTTTCCCCCTTTCTTTTATTACCTACACATGGTATTTACCAATGATCAACCAAAAGTCAGCCTAGCTTTTATCACATTATACCTTCAAAAACTCAGTTGTTAATTTCGATACCATCTCAATACTTTGAAGGAAGGAACATTTAAAGGATCACTATAGGGTCAGGAACACAAACATGTATTCCTGAACCTATAGTGTTAAAACCACCATCTAGCCCCCCTGGGCCCCTCATGCCTCCATAAATATAGCAAAATCTTACTGTATTCAAGCCAGAAGCAGTAGATCTACATGCTGTTTGCCTCAAAAAAAAAAACAAGCAGTCTGCTGACATCATCAGAAGTGGTAGCCTGATCCAATCACAATGCTTCCCCATAGGATTGGCTGAGACTGACAAAGAGGCAGATCAGGGGCAGAGCCAGCATGATTCAAACACAGCCCTGGCCAATCAGCATCTCCTCATAGAGATGAATTGAATCAATGAATCTCTATGAGGAAAGTTCAGTGTCTGCATGCAGAGGGAGGAGACACTGAATGTTTGGATGCATTTTAGGCAGCCATGACCCAGGAAGGATCTCTAACAGCCATCTGAGGAGTGGCCAGTGAAGTTATCACTAGGCTGTAATGTAAACACTGCATTTTCTCTGAAAAGACAGTGTTTTCAGCAAAAAGCCTGAAGGTAATGATTCTACTCACCAGAACAAATTCAATAAGCTGTAGTTGTTCTGGTGACTATAGTGTCCCTTTAAATTAACCTTGAGGGTAGCAGCTCAGTTCATTATATTGTTTATTTTATTGCTATCACATTTACGTTCATAGTGTTCATGTAAAAAAAAAAAACACTTCTTTTTAGTTGGAAACATGATCTATCCCCCTTTCAGTATGAATCAAGATTAGTTTATGCATGTGCTGTACTTTTTCTGTACTATCTTTACTATATTATCTGTTATTGCGAATAAAACACATACAAAGAATACAATTTAAAAAAAGAGAGACACAAAGCATAAGAGAGTTAATAGAAACAAACATGGAAGTAAAAGGGATAAAGAGGGAAACACAAGGGAATGAGGGGGCTGTTCATAGACACAATAGAGAGTGGAGTAACACACAAAAAATGTTCAGTTCAGGAGGATTCCAAAATTCCATCACAGGTGTCAAATAACCTAGGTGCATCTCACACAATACATTAAACGCAGTGAAGGGATGAATACTTTTGTAATATTGGTTATGTCAGAACCCAGAGGTGACTAGATTAACCATTAATAATCCTTATAATGTGTAAATGGAGATTTTAGTAATCTGAAAACCAAAATGAAAAACCCTCATCAAAGTAGTTGATTTGGAAGAATTCTCCTACTGACTTATAGTCACAATGTGGCTGTTTTATGCAGAATTTTTATTTTCTATTCAATTTATGTGAATGTATTTTCCATATAGTGATGGTTTCTCTTCTCAGCTATCTACTGTGAATTCCACGTTTATTCTAACTCGTTGAACACATAGGCCAGTCTATTCTGTCAGGACTAGTCATTAAAGTGAGAATTCAGAGTGAATTGAAAGTGGTTTTCAGATTTAAGGCTAGAGTAGCCATACTGAAAGCATAGATGACTTCGTGATTTTTTTCCAGTTTGACTAGTTGTACCTTAAATTTAAAATTCACTTTGAATTCTCACATTATTGAATAACCCCGTAAGTCATATATTTTTTTGTCAATCTTAATTTTATTCAGTGCTTAGAGTAACACACAGGCTTGTCATTCCACAACAGCATGCACAGGCTTATGATTACAAGTTATTGTAAACAGTGTTAAGGCATTTGGTAAATCAGCACCCATTGCGTTAGTTTAACCACTGGCGAAATAACATAAATGTAAAAAGACTACGTGTCAAAAGCAAAATAAAAATAATAACGTTGGAGCTTAGTGATAGCCTTTACACAGCAGATCAGGGCTAAGTTATAGAGCTAGAGAAAGAAGCAGTTCAGCCTTCAGCCGATTCCCATGCTTGAGATGTGCTCTGGCATCCGAAGGGTACCTGCGAAGGTGGAGGCGTAGTAGGAGTGAGCTAAGGCATACTTCCAGCCCCAGGCCCTTGTAGAGGTTTTCCTCTTTGAGCCGCTAGCGAGGGAGCTCCGAGAGATCCAGTCCTTCCCATAGTGGGAGACACAGAAGGCCCTGATGCTTTTGCACCGCCAGTGGCGGAGCAGTGGCGGTCCTTGGGGGGGCAACGGGGCAATTGCCCTTCCCGAGAAAATAGTGCAGCTCTCATAGGGGAACTACCTCATCAGGGGCCTGGTCGGGTGCTGCAGCCTTTTGGCTGACAGGGCCCCTTTAATGCTAGCAGAGTGCTGGGAGGAAGTGACTTTAACTTCCTGCCAGTTTACAGACCACGCGGGCTGGGAGGCCACAGAGGAAGAACTGAGAGCTGACTCTCATCAGCATCAGCAAGCCCAGGAAGTCACCTCCTGCAACCAAAATGTATGGAAGCAGGGGGTGGTTAGCAAATGTAAATTGCAATTTGTGTGTATGCCAGTGTGTATGTTTAGCTATGTGTCAGTGTGTATCTCTGAATATGAGTGTGTATCTGTGTTTGCGTCAGTGTGTCTGTGTGTGTCGGTGTGTTTCTGTGAGTATGTGTGTGTGTGTGTCAGTGTGTATCTGTGTTTGTGTCAGTGTATCTATGTGTATAGTTGTGTTTGTGTCAGTGTTTATGTGTGTATCTGTGTGTGCCAGGGAATCTGTGTGTGTGAATGTGTCTGTGGGTGTCAGTGTGTATCTGTAAATATGTGTGTGTGTGTCAGTATGTGTGTACCAGTGAGTGTCAGTGTGTACCAGTGAGTGTCAGTGTGTATCTGTGTGTGTGTAGGTATGTGTGTATCTGTGTGTGTTAGTGTGTATCTGTGTGTGTTAGTGTGTATTTGTGAGTGTGTCAGTGTGTATCTGTGTGTGTGTCAGTGTTTGTATGTGTGCCCAGTGTGTGTATGTGTATCTGTGTGTTTAGGTAAGTGTGTGTATCTGTCAGTCAGTGTGCATGTGTAGGTATGTGTGGATCTATGTGCCAGTGCGTGTATCTCTCTGTGTGCCAGTGTGTAAGCAGATATAGACTGTATAGACTGTAAGCTCACTTGAGCAGGGCCATCTTCAACCTATTGCTCCTGTAAGTTTTTGTAATTGTCTCATTTATTGTTAACTCTCCCCCTTTGATAATATTGTAAAGCGCTATGGAATATGCTGGCGCTACATAAATAACAGCAATAATAATAATAATAATAATAATAATAATAAGTGTGTGTATATCTATGTGCCAAAGTGTATTTGTGTGTATCTGTGTGCCAGTGTGTATGCCAATGTGTGTATGTGTAGGTCTGTGTATATGTTTTTGTCAGTGTATATCAGTGTGTTTGCCAGTGTGTGCAAGTGTAGGTATGTGTGTGTATCTGTGTGTGTGCCTGTGTAGGCATATGTTTGTATCTGTGTGTGCCAGTGTATGTGTCTGTGAAGGTATATCTGTGAATCTTTGTTTATGTATCAGTGTGGGAACATGAGTGTATCTATGTGTTTCCATGTCCCTGTGTGTGTTACCGCATATGTGTACAGCCTCCTATCCCCTTCACTAGAGCTTCCTATCTCTCCACTACAGCCCTTTTCACCCACACCAGCCCACCATCAGTGCCCCTCCCGAGATTTTGTCCTGGATCCACGCCATCAGGGTGGCGGTCCGGTGACCAGGACCCAGACACTGTCCGGGTGGCGGTCGGACGACCGGGACCCAATATGCCTGATGTTGAAAGTAGGAATCATAGTGTGGAAGTGGATTGGCAGGGTAACCGCACGCCCCCTGGTGTTGAGCACCAGCGTTTGTGCGGCCACATACCAGGACCCTGATGCAGCTTCAGCGGATCCCAGGAACTAGGAGCTTGGAAATAGGCAGACCTCCCAGGAGCAGAATAGGGAGGCTCAGCAGCAGGAATGAATCCTGTACACAAAGAAAGCAAGGCTAGGATAGGCACCAAACATGAAAACAAGACAGAACTAGTAGAACCCAGAACCAGAGAAGGGTATGAAGCTAAACCCAGAACATGTAAACAATACATAAGGGAACATTAAAAGAACAGGGGCAGGACAGGACAGGACTGTACATGGACTGGGAATACAAAATAAAACAAGAAAAGATAATAATAGGCAAAACAAGAGGAGACATAACTAAGTACTATATATGTAAAACATTGGAGATTTAGACATACATAAACGGCCAAGATGTATGCAGCCCACCAACTGCAGCAAAGTACTCCAATAAAGGTGGGAAACTAACTGCCTAAATATGCATGACTAAATAAACAATAATAAAACACACACACAGCACTTACCTGCAAGAAAAGGCAGAGGACTAGTAGCAACCGCCTGCAGGAACCAACTGAAACAAAAGGATTAATGGAAAAGGAACGGGTGTGGCAACATAAAACAAACATTTAAAGGAATCCAAGAGACTGGGAATTCCAGGAACGGAATAAAGGAATAAACCCAGAAAACCCAGCATAAAGAAAACCAGACATAGACTAGAAAACCAGAAAAACCAAGAAAAACTAAACAAGAATTGTAAAAAGAGTACTGGATACCAGAAGCCATTGCCAGAATGACCCGCAGCTAGGAACAGGATGTGACACACGCCTGGCTTGGAGGACATACTCTGGTGGCTTTTGGCCCAGGTGGGCTAGTGTGGGCTAAATCAGGATCAGCCAGTGAGGTTATGCTTGAAGGAGGCCAGCTCACCACACAGTTTGCACTCCTCCAATCTCCCGTCTGAAACAGCTGTGGTGTTGCCATTCTGCTCTCCAGCTATGCCCAAAATTTTGCAAAGTTTACATTGAGCCATTGCAGGGTTCTCTCCACTATATTATGGAGAGTTCCCCAGTGTTTCGTAGTGGTACTCTCATGAGGGTTTGGTGAGACTTGGTGCGTGCAAGTAGTTTCGGGAGCAGAGTTCAGGAGTCAGCATAGGTAAAAACTCAGGCCGTCAATTGTTATAACAGCACGGACCAGGATAACCCCCACCGGTCGAAGGGTGGAAGATACATGACTCAGACGCAGATCAGCCCCGGCTCGTCCCACACTAGGCTGCAAGGGGTCTTGCTAGAGAGGTCGACCGCCACTCCCAACTTGTCCCACACTAGGCCACAAGGCAAAGGGTTCAGGTTGCGTCATGATATTAGGAGCCAAGCTTCTCTGGAGTGCCTAGTAACTCTCCAGGTTCTCCGAGTTTCGGTACAGCACCATTTAGCAGTGGAGGTAGTTTAATTGCGAAAATTTGATTAGTGCGAAAATTTGCAGAGCTCGTGTTCTTTGCAGCCGCTCGCCCCCACCCTATAAGTCATATTAACCACTTGTTGGATACTTGGATGGAGCTATCACAATAGAAACAATTGATAAGTTCCTGCTAATTTACATATGTTAAGCACATTGCCACATATTTAACCTTGCGGTAAATTGAGATTTGTTGGGGATTCAAGTGAATTAAAATTTTTAGACCTAAATAGCTAATGTGGAAGTATAGCTGGCTTTTAGAATTTTCCTAGTCCAGCTATTTTGGTAAATTCTTTTTTTAATAAATAACCCTCATACCATCTGAAAATGCCATGAATTGACCCATGTATAAGTATGCAAAGTCTGCCGTTTTTTTCTCTTTCATTTTGCTTATGACACAAATAAATAGTAAAAGACGAAAGTGGTCCTCAAACAAGATTAGAGAAATAGAAAAACTGATATTTCTTTTCCTAATACCCCCCCTGTCATTAATTACATAAAAAGTCAGTTTGAAAGCTATGTTTTTCATCTTCAGCCTAATTTTGCTGTATTTGTCATATTTGTTTAACCCCTTAAGGACCAAACTTCTGGAATAAAAGGGAATCATGACGTGTTACACATGTCATGTGTCCTTAAGGGGTTAAGTTCGGTTACAATATCCTTGTGCTAAAAATCACTAAGAAAACACAGAAGGCTACCCATCACAGTTTGGGTAAACACCTGCTTAAAAAGACATTAAATTCAGTACTATGCAATGTCGTGCAATTTAACGGACTTCAGTATACATTGATAAATAAATCTCCAAAGTCAATGATATATAATTCTTACATTTCACTTCTACATTCAACAGTTACTCTAAACATTGTAACAATGTTGCATCATTGCAATAGAGAGTGGCTTAAAACTGTAGTGACTTGTAAAATAAAATTGTTGAATTCATGACAGCCTTCTAGAGCTGTCAATCAGGCATTCCAGAGCGCTATATTCATTTTGTACAAGCTACTGGATGCTCACGCAACATGTGCATTTTGTACAGATTTCCTCCCCAGAGAGAAAGCCATGCTGTGGTTCACTAAACAGGGAAGTGGACTGTGTGTAAAGTGAAATGAAAAGAGTACTATGTGATGAGTCAAACTGCTCCTGGGGGATAAACTAGTTATGCCATAAATAGTTTACGGAGTGGACTCCATAGACCAAACTGAGAGGCTCCTTATTGGTTATACTCTTCCTGGTGAATGCGTTGTCGACCTGTAACCAGGGCCAGATTAAGAGCCCAGTGGGCCTGATGGGCCTAATTACAAAATCTTATTGACCAAAAACACTAAAACAGTCCTACATCCTAAGCGTCATGTATCTGATGGAGATGGTGCTGGAGGGAAAATGATAGGATGCAGCTATGAGAAAACACATACCCTACGCTAATCTCACGCTTTCATTTTTAAAGTAAACACATACCCCCTAACAGCAGTGTCCAGTAAAGCAGGAAGTCTATGGATGGGGTGAAAGGGTGGGCCACTGACACAAATCACATAACCAGAACTGCCGAAAGGGGCGAACATACACAAAAAGGGGGCATGTCTGTGTCCCCATGTCTCCCATGTTTCCCAGTGTTCCCATGTCACTAGGACACTAGGGGACATTGAGAGACATTGGGACACTGGGAGACACTGAGATACTAGGGAACATTGGGAGACCTGGGGACACTGGGAGACATGGGGACACTGGGTGACTTTGAGACATGAGGGGACACTGGGAGACATGGGGCACTGAGACACTGGGATACATAGGGGACACTGTGATACATAGGGGACACTGGAGACTTGATAAAGATCTGGGTACAGGTCGAAACATTGCAGTGACCAATAAACCTGCTTAAATCTATCACAGTGAGTGCCTGAGATTTTTTATTTTATACTAGGGGACACTGAGACACTTGGGGGCACAGGGAGACATGGGGACACTGGGAGACTAGAGGATTCTGATAAACTAGGGGACACTGAGATACTGAGAAAAAGTGAAAAAAGGTTAGCGCTAATAATAAAATGGATAAAATAAGAGGCAGCAGCCTAATAGGGGGTCACCCTCTAACCCTCTACAGTAAGAGTATACACAAAAACAGAGAAAAGGCTGCGCCAAGAAGGATAAATAAAACAAATAAATTCGGTACAAATAAAATAGTTGTAAAATGTTCTATAAAAGATTATACTTTTTTATACACTCTGCACGATTAGTTCTTTCCCATTGTGTCTTTCATATCGTGAGACGGACGACTATTAACAAAGAAGACACCACATCAGTTGAGACACCATCTATAATTGGGACTCTTTTATAGAACATTTTACAACTATTTTATTGGTACCGAATTTATTTGTTTTGTTTATCCTTCTTGGCGCAGCCTTTTCTCTGTTTTTGTGGACACTGAGATACTACTGAGAGACACCAGGGACACTGGGAGACATGGGGCACCGAGACACTGTGATACATAGGGGACACTGGAGATTTGATAAAGACCTGGGTACAGGTCGAAACATTGTGGTGACCAATAAACCTGCTTAAATCTATCACAGTGAGTGCCTGAGATTTTTTCTTTTATACTAGGGGACACTGAGACAATAGGAGACATGGGGACACTGAGAGACATTGGGACACTGAGACACTGGGAGACTAGATGACTTTGGGAGACTAGGAAACACTCAGACACTAGGGACACTGGCACACTACGGACACTGAGAGACACCAGGATACACTGGGATACTGAGATACTAGGGACACTGGCTGGGAGACATGTCTCCCAGGTCTCAAAGTCACCCAGTGTCCCAATGTCTCCTTTTGTCCCCCAGTGTCTCGATGTCTCTCAGTGTCCCCTAGTGTCTCAGTGTCCCCATGTTGCCCAGTGTCCCAATGTCTCAGCGTCCCCAAGTCTCTCACCGTCCCCATGTCTCGCAGGCTTGGAGCTGCTGTCTGGACTCTGTGCAGAGCTGCTCCCCCGCGGATCAGTGAGTAGTGAGAGGCAGGGAGGGAGATGCTGTAACTTCTTATCCCTGCCTCTCTCCACACAAACAGCGACCCCTACTGGCCAGCGCTGGCATTGCAGAATAATCTCTGTTTATACTGAGAGAGGCATTTGTATTGCTGGTATTACTGCATTACTGGCACCGGCTAGGCAGCCACAGATACCTGAGAAATACTTCTGAGAAATACCTGGCAACCATAAGAAATACATGAGAAATACCTGGCAAACCTAAGAGTAGTGTGTAAAAAAAATGTTTTTTTTTTTTTAAATCAATGGGCCTATTCCAGGCCTGGGCCTATTCCAGGCCTGGGCCTGGAGCTGCAGCTCCATCAGCCCCTATGTTAATCTGGCCCTGCCTGTAACGTGCATGCTGTGCTAACTCAATAGCATTAAAAGCATTGACAAGTCATGTTTTTTTACTAAAAAAAAAATTATTCTATTACAAATTATATTAAAAAGTGCTAAAGTACTTTTGGGGGTTTGAAGCTTGCTTCACACCTAACCCCACCTCCCGGAAGTAGCTGATCGAGAACAGAGCTGATACAGGAATTTGCAGTAACGTCTGTGCTGGCCGACAACTGTATCCACTCAGCAGCAAGACGGCTCTTCACTACCAGGACCAGGTTGACTTTGGAAGATTTGTTTTTATTGTGTTATAATAAAGGCTGTTCATCTTTCCACTGGCTGGAGTGAAGGCCTACTTTCTAAGGCTGTTACAGTTAGAGCAGACTCATTTGCTCTGCATTTGTGAGTCCAATACCTCACTTATAATTTTATATTGTGTGTATTTTACAGTTTTACACTATATATATTTGTTTCTGTTTTATGTCTCTAATACTGGGCTTTACCTGAAAATTTGCTGCTATTGTAAGTTGTTTTTACATTATTTTTGCACAATATCACTTTAAGTGTTTTTTCGAGTTCACTAATAAGCAGTGTTTTTATATTATCTGCTGCTTATATATATATCAGTGATTTGCACTTGATTGAAGCACTTTATAATAAGGTTCACACAGACTGTTATAAGTGTGTATAAGTGTGTTTTTTTGCACAGTATTAAGCACTTTATGCCATTGGACTGTGACTTTCTATATATTATGTGCTGCTTTAATAGTACTGCACTTTAAAAATATAGCGCACCTATTTGTTGTTTTTATGTTTTTTGCTTTTCTTTAACAGGGAAGATAAACCCGTGTTTGTGATGACGCGGATGGTTTCACTATACGCAAGCACTAAGGAATAGTTGCAGCCCTATGTATATATTTTATTTTTTTATACATCTTCGTACGTTTTTGAAATGTTGAGACGTTTATACGTTGACATTCAAATGTCAATATCCCCATAGTGAAATACTAGTGCCAGTGTTCTATAGAATGCACCGGTATTACACCTCATTTAGTAAGGTCAGGATTTGGTTAAACTTATAGTCGATCTGTAGCAGTATTGGTGGTTAGGACAAGGGGATAGGATTATAGGCATGGGATTAGAGCTTTGGCTGAGGATGTTGAAGGTTACAGCCCTGAAAACAGGACCCTTAGTCCCCTTTACGGTATGTATCTCTAAATCTATCTCATGGGATACAATACAAAACATGGCCTTGTAATGATGTTCCTGTTATAAAGTAATCTATAATGTTGCTGGGAAGTTTTTAATGAAACAGTCTTTATACCTTATAGTTATACTTTTGTGATGTGATTACCATAGATAGACACTGTTCCAATGGTATATCTATCTATTTTTTTGTACCTGCATTTAAAAGCAGAAAGTAGTTTGGGATGGGCCCCTCTGCCTCCATGTCTGAAAAACAAAACTGACCAAAGTGTGTAAAGAGAGCACAGACCAAGGTGTGGTTGCAGAATAAACAAATTCTAAGCTACAGGGAACGGGGGCTATTGAATTATGGATGAGATAAATGGTGCAACATATGTTTTATATTCATATCTGTCTATTAGAGCTCTAGTTATTTATTTAAAGATTTTCCGACTGGGAAAACAATCATTACGGAGACACGCCGTGCTAGGAGTAAAACGCACCCTACGGGGGATAGCAGCTGCATATACAAAATAGAATGAAGATGTCAACATAGGGGAAGACAATGTGCAAACAGCAGCCGCGAAATTATGTCTACTAATCCTGCATAAGATTAAAAATTACTGCTGTTTTTTTTTAGATCTATCACAAAGTTCGAAAAAAATGTTTCCATCAGTTAATCATGCTTTTCAAACAGGTAATCCATTACAAATTTTAATGAAAGTTTTCCGTGACCCAGGAACATGTTTTGAACAGGTAATCCCTCCTACATTTACTTAAGTGAAAAAATAAAATTACAAAACATATAACAGAAGTGCAGGCTATTCAGGTGTATTCAAAATACTTATCACAAATGTAATGATATTATTGATAACAAAGGCCTGTATTGTTCATTCTTCACTCTGTAGAAAGAGAATCACCAAATTGTGTTCCCTCTGAGCAATTTGGCACAAAAACATACAATGTTTCTAAGTCACTTTGGTAGATTCTTTCCTTTGACACTTTCATCCTTCCTCTATTTCCTCAATTTTTTTTCTAAAACCTTTTTTTCCTCAGGTACTGCACAAAACACAGACAACTTTTTCTTATTGGGAAGAACCCGCCCATTCCCAAGATCATTTTCCTTTATTATCAACACATTTCTTTGTCCATTGAGTTTTGAGGAGGTTATACACAATATAGACAAGTTGACCACAGAGAGGAGAATTCGGAGGCATTGGAAATGGTTGAGAAGAGGAGGAGAGATTAGAATTGCCCTCCTGTGTGAGAATTCTGGCCTACGTGCCTATACGATGGCAAGTGAATCCAACACTATAACATCATGGAAAGAATTAGAAAGAAGTCTGCACCAGGACAATAGGATCTGGCAATAGATTAAAAAAAAGAAAAAAAAAAAAGATATTTGGAGAAGAAACAGATGAGTGGAAGAAACAATGGAGGATCAATATAAGAGCCTAATAAACGAACAAAATAAAAAAATAAAACACCTAATGAAGCCACCTTAAGAAAAGATTAGTAAAGTCATGTTCTATTGTATTTAGTTCCTTTTGAAAACTCTAGATATGATTTTCTTTATCCTGATATAATTTTTGTAACTGTATCGGTGCTTACAATGAACAGTCTAGAGGGAAAATTATTGTCAGGTCTAGCCTTTTCCCACTACCTTACAATTTAATGCTATATCTACTAATATCACAGTGTCTTTTCTCTGTCTTTATAGAAATCTCGTACAGGAGCATTGACAAAAAAAATGTCAGATCCGGATCGGATCTAAAGATTTTGACATAGCGGTCACATGTTTTACAATGCATTGTTATAGAATGCTTATTAAAAAAACGTTAACATAGATACTATATTGGTGAAAGTGGTTGAGCAAACATTTTGTTGTTTTGGTTTTTTTCTTCCTATTTATATATCTGTAAGATTTTAAAAGGGAACTGTAACTTCTCTGGATATTACATTAAATACACCATTTTAAATCACCTTCAACTTTTGTTGCCATTTTTTTTCATGAGATGGTCTATTTCATTTTAAATTATATTAAATAGTTAGCAAATAGCATCATAATCCAGTTCCGATAAGGCAAGACTTGGGCAAACATTGCCAATGAAGAGGAGATATAGAAACATTGTTTCATTTCTCCTCTTATCTCTATGCTTACTTTGTGTTTACTGCCAGGTGCAAAGGACAGAGAGGATAACAATATAACAATGACTGCCAGGGAGCTAAGATGGAGGTGCCCAGTTGCAGGATAAAGAGGTGTGGATTTCTATGTAGTAAACATACAGTGTGAATCACTAAAGTGGGAATTCAAGGTGAATTCAAAGTGAATTACAAATTTAATGTCGAAATAGCCAAACTGGAAAAATTCTCTGAATTGGCTATGTTTTCAATGTATCTCCTGTGGCTTAAATATGAAATTCACTTTGAATTCTCAGTTTAGTTAATTACCTTGATAATATTAAAAATCTAGCGAAGTGACAGTCTCCTTTTTTTATTTTATAAATTCTTTATTTTTCAGGTTTAGGTGAGGTAAAGGGTACAGAATAAAGGTAGGGGTAGGGTAGTAGTGTCATTCAATAGCTTTACAGTTTTGTTTCGACTCAATGGCATTGGTACGATTTATTGCGAAACCTCAGAACAGTCTTCTAGGTTAAGTGGTACAGTTTTCTATGTCTCAGGTGGAGGTTGTCACTTGGCTTCGAGTCCTGTCGTTTTTGTCTCTGAGAGCGTATGTGGCTCTTCCTGTGTTGTGTTTGTCAGGTTTTGTCTCTTTCGGTTCTGTTTGGGTCTGGGGTTTGGGTTGGTGTGTCTGTTTTGAGTGCGGGTAGGGTCCGTGTGGGAGTTTGGTGGTCTCAGCCCATGGGTGGTCGCCTCATATAGGCTGTAGATGTGGAGGGTTTCCAGTGTGATGAGATCTGGGTCTACGCCTAGTGTCTGAGGTTGTCCTCTTATATTCGTATCTACTGCTGGTGGTCAGGTTGTGCGGAGTGTGGTATTTTGTTAAATGTTGGGCGAGTTCCCCAGTCTTGTGTTTGTGCATTGAATCGTGAAGTTGGTGTGGGGGGGGGAGAGGGTGTATGTGTATAGGGTTGGGGGGGCCTATGTGGGGTCCCATTGTGTTATTAGTAGGGGGTCTGGTTTTGGGGGGGGGAGGGATCGCGGCTTGTTCCCGGGTCCTCCGCTTACGGTGCCTGTAGGTGGTGTTGGGTCCATGGATCCCATATCTTGTGGAAGTTTCGAGTTGTGTCGTGTAGTAGGGCGGACAGTTTGTCCATTTCCATTGTTTCTTGTGTTTTGTGGATCATCGTGGTTAGTTGGGGTGTATTCTGATTGCCCCATTGTTCTGCTATTGTTCTTCTGGTAGCTAACGCTAATCTGGCCACTAGTTTATTTTGCGCTCTGGTGAGGGGAGGGTGGGGTTTTGAGAGCAGCCATATCCAGGGGTCTCTTGGGATATCTGTTTCTAATATGTCTGACGCGAGCGTGCTCACTCTTTCCCATATTTGTAGGACTTGGGGACATTCCCACCAGAGGTGAATGTAAGTGCCCTTCTGTGTGCAGCCTTTCCAGCAGGTGTCTGTGGTGGCGAGGCCCATTTGTTTCAGTCTGAGCGGTGTGAGGTACCATCTGAGTAGGGTTTTATAGGCTTGTTCTTTATGATTAACGCAAATGGTAAGTGAGGCCGTGGCTTCCCATATGTCTGCCCAGTCTGTAGGGTCTGCGGGGGGGGCCTATATCTCTTTCCCAGGCCTTGGTGTAGGAGAGTGCGTCCTCTGGGGAGTTTGAGTTTAGGAGTGAGTATATTTTTGTGATTTGTCCTTTCTGTATGGGTGCGTGGAGGCATGTATTTTCGAATTGTGTTGGTTTGGTAGTGGCGGCCGTCCTGTTTTGTGGTTCGTTGAAAAAGCTGCGAATCTGTATGTAGCGGAAGTGATCGAATGTGGTCAGGGGTGTTTGTTTGGGGAGGTCCTGGAAGGGGCAGAGTTGTTGGCCTTGGAAAAAGTGTAGGAGTCGTAATAGTCCATTGTCCTCAAATCGTGAGAAGTCTTTGGGAGTTAGGCCTGGGGGAAATTGCTTGTTTCTTAGGATAGGTGTGAGGGGCGATGGGTTGTTGATTATGGGATGTTTTGATGTGATGTCGTCCCAAATGAGAAAAGATGTGGTTAATGTAGGGGTGGTTAGTGGCGTGGGTGGTCTGTCCTTCTTGGGCAGCCAAAAAAGTAGTGATGGGTGGTCTCGTCCCAGGAGATCGTGCTCTAGGTCTACCCAGAGCTTGAATCCTGGTGGTGCGTGCAGTTGTTGTATTTGGGCCAGTTGGGCCGCTTGGTAGTAATGGTAGAAGTTCGGGAGGCCCAGGCCTCCTGATTTTGTGGTTTTGTACATTGTGGATCTTTTTATGCGCGGTCTCCTGTTTGACCAGATAAATCTGTCTATGTGTACCTGGAGCGTTTTAAAGTCGTATTTGGAAATGGGGTGACAGTCTCCTTTTTAACCCTAAAAAAGATCCTTACCTAGATGGTCCGCCGTTCCCTCGCCGGCCATCGCTGTGGCTCACGGTCTGGAGGGACTGCCTGACAGCCCAGACAGTGCATCCTTCGGCAAATTAGGCCCCCACGGGCCATGTGATTGCTCTGAAAGATGTACAGGTTTTCTAGTGTTTTTGAAAATTACTGGGTCAAATATAAGGCTTGATTTTCTGTTCTTTTCACATTGAAATTTGCCAGATTGGTTGTTTGGCCTTTGAGAGCATATGGTAGCCCAGGAATGAGAATTGCCCCCATAATAACATACCATTTGCAAAAGAAGACAACCCAAGGTATTGCAACTGGGGTATGTCCAGTCTTTTTTAGTAGCCACTTAGTCACAAACACTGGCCAAAGTTAGCGTTCATCATTGTTTTTTGCATTTTTAACACACAGCCAAATATGAATGCTAACTTTAGCCAGTGTTTGTGACTAAGTGGCTACGATATGATGAAAATAATGGTATCTTTAGAAAGACCATTTAATGGCAAGAAAAACTGGTATATAATTTGTGTGGGTACAGTAAACGAGTAAGAGGATACTTACAGCTAAACACTAACACCGCAGAAATGTAAAAACAGCCCTGGTCCTTAATGGTAAGAAAATTTAAAAACCGTCTGGTCACTAAGGGGTTAATTAGCTTCAATAAAAGTTGTAATTTATTACAAGAGGACATAGTCTTAAATTAGAGGGGCAAAGGTTTACAAATAATATCAGGAAGTATTACTTTACTGAGATGGTAGTGGATGCATGGAATAGCCTTCCAGCTGAAGTGGTAGAGGTTAACACAGTAAAGGAGTTTAAGCATGCGTGCGATAGGCATAAGGCTATCCTAACTATAAGATAAGGCCAGGGACTAATGAAATTATTTAGAAACTTGGGCAAATTAGATGGACCGAATGGTTCTTATCTGCCGTCACATTCTATGTTTATATGTTTCTATTACATTAAGGGTTATTTACTAAACCATGTATTGCTTGGAATACAGTGCAGTTTTGCAAATTGTATAATGAAATAAACACATTTTTTAAATTTACCAAAGTTGTTTGTTTCTATTTTGGACAAAATGTTTCATTTGTGGTTAATTACCTGGTCAATTCTTGACAATCCAGGATACAGTGAATAACTGTGTACATCTAGAGTAATTTATTCGCAGTGTGCATTTACTTAATTTTATTGCCTGAGATCTGCAAATATAGTGGAATGGTAATTCAGAAGAATGCTTTAAATATGTATACAATTACAATTATTTATATAGAGCCAACATATTCCACAGCACTGTACAATAAGTAAACAAAACAAAAACTGTCAGCGTTATTTACTCAAAGAGAATTTCAAATTGAAGGCCAAAGTAGCCAAACTGAATGCATAGCTGACAAAAGAGAATATTTCCAGTTCGGCTATTTTAACTTTAAATCTTGAATTCACCCTTTAGTGAATAACCCTGTAAATGATAACAAAACATGATTGGTATACTGGGGCAGTCGGTGAAGAGGGCCTTGCCTAAACAAGCTTAGAATTTAAAAGAACAGAATTTAAACAATGGCTTACAATACAGGTAGTAATCCTGCAATATAATTGTGGTGGTGAATACAGAGAAACCAGTCAAGCACACTAAATGAAAATGTTTTGGTCAAGTACGTAATATCTCCATCAACAGCTGTGAGGTTGCTTAGATAAATATTCATTTGGACTATGGTCTTTTGCAGATAAAGAAATGAACACAAGAGTACAAGAGTGGATATAAACATACAGCACCATGTTGCAATAACTCATGCAATTAACCAAACAATCTCTATACAATGATTCGGATGAGAGGCCTGTGTTGTAAATAAATAAAACTGTTACAAATCTCATCAGTCACTTAATTCTCCAGATGGACATCAACCTACATGTACACTGATTATATCCAATGACACAATATGCCTGACATCAACATAAATAAAATCCCCTGTATGTTATATTTGTAGCATCTCTTTTACCGACCACAGAGAGGGATATTCTTGTCAGAGCTGGAGAAGCCTGCAGCAGTATGAGTTAAATTATGGATGGTTGATCTTAAATTTTATAAATATCAGGGTTGTTCACTGATAATTCAAAGTGAATTTAAAATGTAAGATCAACGTTTTAAACTGGACAAAAAAATATCTGAGTCAGCTATGCTTTCTGTTCAGCTAATCTGGCCTTAAACGTGAAAATCACTTTAAATTTGAATAGTCACTTTAGAGAATAACCCTGTGTTTGGTCCATTACTTAACCCCTTAGTGACCAGACCGCTTTTCAATTTTCTTACCGGGGCAGTTTTTACATTTATGCGGTGTTTGTGTTTAGCTGTAATTTTCCTCTTACTCATTTATTGTACCCACACATATTATATACCATTTTTCTCACCATTAAACGGTCTCTCTAAGGATACCATTATTATCACCATATCAAATAATTTACTATATATAAAAAAAATTATAAAATATGCTGAAAAAATTTAAATAAATACACTTTTTCGAACTTTGGCCCTCAAAATCTGTCACGCATCTACAACTGCCATAAAACACCCATGCTAAAAAGTTACAAAATTTTGTCCTGAGTTTAGAAATACCCAATGTTAACATGTTCTTACCTTTTTTTGGAAAGTTATAGGTTTAAGTAGCACTTTGCTATTTCCAAACCATTTTTTTTTTCAAAATTAATGCAAGTTACATTGTAACATTGATATCTGTCAGGAATCCCTGAATAACCCCTCACATGTATATATTTATTTTAAAGAAGACAACCTAAGGATTAAACTTGGGGTATTTTGACCCTTTTCATGCAACAATTTTACCACCAATCTATGCCAAATTAAAAAAAAATAATAATAATTGGTGATTTATTTGACACACATAGCAATTTAAGAATACATGTACTGAGAACTTTAAGGGTTACTGCCAAAGCATACCCCAATATGTGTTCAGCATATCTCCTGATACCACCCATGTATAGGCGTGTCAGGTTCTCTGGGGGCTAAAATACTTTATTTGGAGGGTGTGTATTCCAGTTTTCCAACTTGGAATTTTCACAGCTTGTCATCATGCACCATGTCCTATTTGGCACATTTTTGAAGCTGGCCAATGTAAATAACTCCCATCAAACCATATATTTTTGAAAAGTAGACACCCTAGCGTATTTAATATTGGGTATGTCCAGTCTTTTTTAGTTGCCACGTAGTCACAAACACTGGCCAAAGTTAGCATTTATATTTGGTTGTGTGTTAAAAATGCAAAAAACTATTATAAATACTAACTTTAGCCAGTGTTTGTGACTAAGTGGCTACTAACAAAGACTGAACATACCCCATTTGCAATACCTTGGGTTGTCTTCTTTTGCAAATTATATGCCATCATGGGGGTACTTCTCATTCCTGGGCTACCATATGCTCTCAAAGGCAACATAACCAATCTGGCAAATTCCAATGTGAAAAAATGGCCTTATATTTCACCCTGTAACTTTAAAAAATACTATAAAACCTGCACATGGGGGGTACTGTTATACTTGGGAGACTTCGCTAAACACAAATATTAGTGTTTCAAACAGTAAAACGTATTACAACAGCGATATCATCAGTGAAAGTGCCGTTTGTGTGTGAAAAATGCAAAAAAAGTCACTTTCATTGCTGTGATATGTTTTACTGTTTTGAAACACTAATATTTGTCTTCAGCGAAGTCTACAGAGTAAAACAGCACCCCCATGTACAGATTTTAGGGTGTCTTGTATAGTTACAGGGTTAAATATAGTGCTAGCAAATTAAATTTTCTGGACTTCCAGCCTGGGTTGTCAGGCAGGTCCCCCAAATTGCAATCAATAAAATTACTTCATTATGTAAAAATATTACATAAATATGCACATAGAATTTAAATGTATACAAATATTTCTAATTATTTATGTAATTATGTATATAGACATATGTATATTTTGTTTAATTTGTATTTATTTATGTATACATAGATATATATATAATTTCATTCTAAGTGTATTTTGATTTTCATATCAAAATAGTTAGAATAAAATTACATATATATATGATTTTAAAATTAATTTTAAAATTTTAAAATTTTATTATTATTATTTTATATAGTTATCATATATATTATATATATATATATATATATATGTGTGTGTGTGTGTGTGTGTAATTTTACTCTAAGTGTGTTTTTATATTAATATATGTATATATTAATTTAAAAAAAATACACTTAGTATGACGTTATATATAAGATTTTACCACTACAAACATCACTTCCCAAGACGGCATTAAGAGATCCCAAATTGTAAAAACACAAAACCTCTACATATTATCCCTCAAACACACTAAAACCACACCGAGGGATCAACTGGTAAAGATCCCTTATTACCCTACCAGCAACAAATGGTGCCCGGCATAAGTCCTAGATAAATTCCTAACCGTTGTTCCAGGGTCTCCTAACCAACTTTTGTTTACCTTACATGGTAATGCTCTCACTACCAGTTGCTAGGTTAGGTCTTAATCCATCCCACTACTCAGGACACTCCTTCCGCATTGGAGCAGCCACCACTGCTTCCAGCAGAAACATATTAGAAACATATTATCAAGACATTGGGACGGTGGAATTCATCGGCATATACCAGATACATTTTGTAACATGAATATGTGATATATGCTATGTGACGAGACCAATCTCGCCACATTGCATTGGAGAAGCCTGGTTGCTCGCCTGCTGCCTTTGGACTATGGCCCCCTTTTAAAAGACTTTATTTTTGCCTGCAGAAAAGCTGTATTCGTGCTTTTCTGCCTGGGGTTCGGTAGATTTGTTTGAATGTGTTATACCCCAGATAGGAATCCCATGGAGCCCATTCGTATGAAACTGACTGTAAAGACTTTGGCTCCATGGCGATTAAGCTGTATTCGTGTGGTCTGAGCGCCATTCGCTTAATAATGTGCGCTCAGACCTGAGCTATCTGGGGATATGTTAAATGTCTGTGTGTTATGTAACAAATGTGACTTTATGTATTTTAAAGTGTTTTACTGTCTTTGTGTCACCATGTGCATAATGGAGTCTTGTCCCTGTCCTGGGAGATAATTGAATTACTTCTCACTTATCTCCAGGGCAGAGGAGAGGAAGCCAGGATGCATTGTGGTAAAAGGTATGTGTATTGGGTTACCTCTCAGGATAAGGGGGAGGGAATCTGTGGGTTGTAACTAATATGTTACTGGATATTTTATACCTCCCTGTGGGCAGTCCTGTATTTGCAAGACTGTAATAAAAACCAGGCTGGGTGTGCCAGCACCTCAGACCACTGCTTGACCCTCAACACGGAGCCTTGTCTCGTTCTTGGGGGGATTCACTGTATGCTGTTAGAGACTGATTGCCAGGAGTGTAAGCTGATTGTCTGCTTTTCCTGTTCGTCTGCTAGCAACTATTTGGGAGGTTCCAGTTCGGGAGTTGGAGTGCTATTTTGTATCCAGTTCAGGGAGTTTGGTGTTCTGCAGTAGCTGTGCCTGTATCTCTGGAAAGGGGGCCGATCGCCTAAACGGTTTTTACCCCTTGTGTGCAAAACGGTCCGTTACATGCTATATGACTGTCATTGTAGGATGAATAAATCTTGGATGGAATACT